GGGGCCTCGGCCTCCAGCTCCCTGGAGCGGGCGGCCGGCCCTGGGACGCGCCCGAGGGCTGGGACTCGGGTCGGGGGCTGAGGGGGGAGTTTGCATAGCTCTAGCACAGGGGCCGGAGGCGAGCGAGGAGCTCTGCCTGGTTCCTGCCGGCGGATGGAGGTAGCGTGGGGCTTTTCCACTGGTGCTTTCTAGGCAGGTCACTGACTCTCTAGACATCGGGATTAAGCTATAATTCTCACATGCAAAAATATGAGAAAAGGAATTTTATTGATCTACACCTATAAATGAATCCTCCCGTTACGTTCCCTTGTGTGTTTTCCCCCGGGGTCCTTTGCCTTCTTGGATGCTGGGGGCAGTCCTAGGGAAATGCCTGCGCTCTCTCCACCCTCATCTTCACAAGCTGGCTGAAATCCACCCCCTGTGCTGACTGTGTTTTGGTGGCCTGCAGTGTGTAAAGTGCCCCAGGGGCAGCAACATGTTAGCGTAACGGCTCCTTTCCAGGAAAATACCTGCGAGTCCAATGAATACAGTTCAAGGCTTAGGCTTCCGGCCCCAGCAGTTATTCATGTTGATTAAAATAGTTGCTGGTCCTACTCCAAAGCATGTGGAACACTTGGGGTAAGCTAATGGAGCTGATAAATGTACATGAAACGATGGAGTGTTTTGACTATTCCAGATTTGCTTCTGGAGAACATTTCATGGAGAAAAGAAGTGCTGATCTGGAGGCTGGAACTTCTTGTGCAAATACAAAGTGTTTGCTTATAAAGCTTTCAAAACATAGTAATGCTTTATTTTTTTTTGCCTTTTGTTTAAAAAAAATAAAATAAAAAAAATTGCCAGCCTTGCTTGCTTGCTCCCAACCCTTACTTAGGCACATGCCTGTTTACAGACACCTTGGTCTTCAGGGGAATAGTAATGGCAAAATGTACCCCAAGGAGCTTGAGTAGAGATGCATTTGCTCTTGATACTAACGTAAATCTTTGTTAGCACTACTATGAATGTCTTGGGCGCATCTTGCATTCTTGCTATGCCAACGTGATCTTAGAATAGAGTGGAGAAGAATCTCCTGGTATATCACAGGGGTCAAGGTCTATTTGACTTACAGATGATGCTTGACAAGTCTTTACAGAAAATACTATTGAAAAACATAAATGCTTTAAATTGTAACTAGCTGTAATCCAATATACTACTGTGCAGAGACTCTTGCAACCTTCAAGTGGATTCTGGGCCAATTTGCTGGATGACATGATGAATTAAGGCAGGGGGAGGGAAAGGACACCAGTCTGGTGTTAAACTCCAGGACTGAAGAGCAATCTGCTTTCAGTCCTGTTTTTGCTCATTAGAAGCAAGTTTTCTTCCTAACATTGTACGTTGGCAATAAACTTTGACATGTATTCTAAAGAAGCTTGCACTGGAATACAACTGGAAGGGGAATAGTCCTCCCTGATCCAGTATCGGATATCAGCCACACAATGGGTAAATGAAATTTGAAAGCAGTCGTGTGATAAGCAGATGATTGGGAGTGACCAGAGTGGCTGAAGCTCTTCTCTAAATTTCAGCTAAAGCCTTTAGAACTTCTCCACCTTCATATTCTGACTTGTTCCTATGCTGTCATTTGCTTCCTTTTCTCCTTTTTCTTCTGACTCCTTGCTTTGATCAGTCCTAACTTGATGGATAATGGGAACAATCCTCAGGAAATAAGCTCTTTCCAACTTCATGTTTAAAAGATAGAATTTAAGCAATCTATTATGACCACGTACAGTTGTTTTGTTTGTCTGTGTTTTTGAAAGGGTGCAAAGTTTTCAGGTCAGGGACCTGTTAATAACAGCTCATTTTTGAGTATCAAAATATAATGTTTTGTTGGGGTTTATATTTTTTTGGAAGGCCTTAGTTTAAATTTGCTCTTATGTAGCTGATAAAAGACAAAAGGCCAAAAGCCAAGGGAAATAAGAGGCTAACTGTGGATCATTTGTCAGTTCTGCAAGGCTTGCACACCTTTGTGGGTCCCATTCATTGTTCATTTGTTTTTCATCTCCCTTGTTTTGGGTGCAAACAAGGGAGAAGAACATGGGGCAAAAATGAACTTTTAGGGGTCACTCTAGTGAGACAGGCAGTGGCTGGCAGTATGGTTTGGAGAGGGCCTCCCAAATGTAGAGGTCAACCTGGAAAAATGCATGGAAATGTTTGATGGTAAATTGGACTGATGCTAGAACTGTGCATGAAAAAGGAAATGTAAGCAGCGGCTGTGTGAAGTAGAGCTATGTAAGCATGTTGACTTTGAAAACCCAGTTTATACAAAGAAACAAGTGATTTGCTTGTTTTCTCAGCCTTCCCTCCACACTCTCATTTTCATCATAAATACCCTCTTAAAAAGAATATATTACTGTTTTACGCTTGAAGCAGATATGATCACATGAATTCAGTGCTCCTTGGTTCTTGGAGGTCGCCCCTTCCTGTGAGCTTTGCAGGACTTGTGGCAGAAGATCATGGATCATGCGGAGCTGGAGACTGAGGACAAAAACTTCATAAGTGGTCTTAATTTTTAGCAACAGGAATGAAAACGAACAGCTAAATTACTTGCCTACATTCTACACAAACCTTCCATCCTCAGCTTTTATTTCTGAAAATTATTAACTTCAGATAAAGAGTTGTGAAACTGGCTATAGTTATTTTAAACTAATGTCACATTATTAAGTTTCTTTCTGAATAATTATTTTCTCTTCTGACTTTGACATGTTACAAAGTATGTCTTCACTGGAGAGAAGACAACACTGTGCTTGCATTTTATAATCCTCTTGTGGTTTATATTTTTAAAGATTGTTAGTTGAGGTTAAACCTGAAGTTTTAAACTAGGGTCTGCACATGATGGTAAGAAGCGTTTTACATGTTAGATGCTTGGTTTTTTAAAAATGCTTTTTTTTTTTTTGTTTTGTTTTTTTTAATCGTTTAGGTAAATCCTAGTTTCATTGTCTGTGCCTAACTCATTAGGCTAGGAGTGTTGGTCCCTAGGTGGGAGGCTTTACAGGTTCTGGAAAACCCATGGGCTGCAGCAGCCCTGCAGCTGTCACGAGTTGCTGTTTCAGTATCCAGGGAGCCCAGGAGTTAATGCTGCTGCCACTCCTGCCCCCTGCCAGGAGCAATCTTAATTGCCAGATGACCCACCTCAGTGGGTTGGATCCATCTTACTGGCTGTATGTTTGACACCTCTGTGTTAGACAATAGGGCTTTCTAGGCAGCTCATTGACTTAGTTTAATCCCAATGTCTAAAACCATACTTCTCCTATGCAAAAATATGAGAAGATGAAGAATTTTTACTGAGCTACACTTATAAATTGAATGAAATTTAACCTTACAAGAATTATTTCAATCTCTGTAAAGAAATCACTTTCTCCATAATGAAACATCAGTTAACTCTGATCAGGTTCCTTAGTCTTCTAGTTCTTAAAACATCTCTTTTGTTTAAATTAAATCGGACAAAGGACCTTTTCTCGGTTTATGCTGCAAACAGAAAATAGAAGGCAGGAAATACATACACAGTGAAGTTAGCTAATCTCAGACTTATCTGAAGCAGAATAAAATCCACCAAACTAGAACTGGAACAAAAACTGCCCATGCCAAGAATAGTTAATTCAGGGTTTCTGTTTTCCAGCTTAGTGTTTTTAGCAAGGTAGTAATAAATTAGTTTGAGGTAGCGAGAAACAAATCTTAAGTAAATCACATTCTCATAGCCTGTCACCTAAGTCACTTGATAGAGATTCTATCATATTGCATTGCAAAAACAAGTGTAGCACTTGAACAAACATTTTCAAAGCAAAAAGCTGTCTCTTTAAACAGTCTGTTTGCTCCTTGCAGGTTTGACTATCTATATTTGTGCATAATTTACTTGTGTGCAAAAAGTTAATATTAACGCATAAGAAACTTGCAAGTTAACTTTAGGTCACTTTGCTAACTTAATCTTTTGTTAAGTTTTAAGTTAACAAGACCTGACACTTTTTTGAGTGTTATAGCTGTCAATCTGTAACCCCGAAATTAACTCTAGTAATAGGTACAAGCCCTGCCCTGCAGTAACTAGGAGAGATAGCTCAAATACTTTGATTCTTGTGCAATGTGAGGTTTTTTTTTGTTTGTCCTTTTGTACTTGATGGTCAGAATTAGGCTTTATGCTGTCAGTTGTTGGGCTGTGTGCATCCCCTTTTAGGAAGCCTCAGGCCTTGAGCCTTAATGGGTCTTTGAGTGGAATTAACATGAATCTCTGTCTGACTAAGCCATTTTTTGCAGCTCCCACATGCTAACCATGATTAGATCAGCCCAGGCTGATGCTTATGTTCAGAATCTCCAGTTTTCTTTCCTCTTGTTACCAAAAAGTCTTTGTAAAAGCAAAGACTTCTTGTTTTTGTTATGGTTTTTTTCTCTTAGATTTAAAGCATTTTAGAGAACAAACACTTTGTGTGTGTGTTGAGTTCCCCTTATGGCTGACATTCCTTTGGATGTTTTGGCAGGTCTTATTCTTACTCAGATGCTTCCACAGATCTGTTTCTGTGTCTGAACTCCCATCTTCCCCTCTTCAGAGAGGCCTTTTAACTGTCCAGTGTCGTTTTGATCCATGTCTGCAGCCTCTGGTAACCAGCTCTGTGTGACTTTGGGCCTGGAATTAGACAAGGGGTGGGCAAAATGTGGCCTGCTGGCTGGATGCAGCCTGCCAAGCCATTCTTTCCAGCCCATGGGGGCCCCTAAAAAATTTAGAAAATTAATATTAATCTGCCCTGGGCTGCCTGCCATGTGGCCCTTGATGGCTTGCCAAAACTCAGTAAGTGGCCCTCCGCCCAAAATAATTGCCTACCCCTGCATTAGACCTTTGCCTTGGAGTGATTTTAATGATTTCTGGGTCTTGGTTTATCTGTCGGCATTATTATTTTTCTGTTGGTGTTCCAACAGCATTTTCTCAAGTTGAATAGATTCTCCTAATGCAGTTAGTTTACCATTACCTCATTTTACCCCACTAAGCAGGTTGCATACAGTATCTGTAAAACTTATTACACAGAAGCTTAACATCACTCTTAATGTGTGTTTTTGTTTTGTTTTTTGTTTTTCTTCTTTTTGTTACACTGCTGTTGTGCATCTTATGTTTAAAATTCTCAGATCAATCAGTGAGCAAGTTCGTACACTGTTTATCCTTGACAGTATTTTACTGTTTTTGCTTGTATCCCATTTGGAGTCACTTGTTACGTACTGGCTTACCAAGTTTGAAACTGATAGCCTGCACTGAACTCTGCCTTTTAAAGCTAACTCAACACAATTACTATAGCAATGTTCTCAAACCTTCTGCAAACAACTTGTTAGGTTTTGGGCTAAAGATTTCTAGAAAGACTCCTAAATAAGACTTGGTAAGTGATCTACATGTAAAAGAGGCTTGTCTGTGAATTTCTGCTGACTGCTAGCCAAGGTCTGTGTTTGTGCAGTTATCTTACTGTTGACATCTAGCCAGCTAACTCCTTGTGCATCATGTGACCTCAGATATCTTGTGTGTCATGTGAGTTCTTGTGCCTTGCTTTTAATTATAAAGAGAAGCACTTTCTGTGGCACATTCTCTTTAGGCATATAAACAAACTTTTTGAGCCATCCTCCCCCAACAGCTTTGATAAGTGATTTCAAATGAGGCTTTTTTGGAAAACGATGTACAGTATGATAAAAGAAACCTTGAGCTCCTATACACATGCAGGGAGGCTGCTTCGATGCACTGTAATTACTTGATTGATCGAGGCTGCTGGAGTGCGGTAATTACCGCACTCCAGCAGACTCCAGTATCATGTGTATCGGTGTTCCCGTGCTGAAAAATGGCGGTGGGGTGCTTTGAACTAAAGCTCATCGAACAAGCTTGAGTTTTAAGGTGCCCTGCCTCCATTTTTTAATGCAGGGATGCTGACACATGTGATGCTCTGGGCACTTTCAGTTAGCCCCCCCCCAGCTATTTAACTGATTTGGTGCTGAAGTTCCCCCAGTGAGAAGATTTTGAAGAGTTATTTCGTTCATCAAGGAATGTGCATTTAAAATGTAGAAATATAACCTAACATGGATTATCTCCTTTTTGCTGTCTCAGACGGCCAGAGCCGACTTGAGGAGGATTGTAGATTACTCGGCCGTCAGGCGGCTGGTGGATGGAGAGGTGGGACACGGCATATTGGTTGCAAAATAACTTTTACTTTAACTTTACTTACGCCGCTGGTGGCTGCGACGCAGGTGGTAAGGTTGCTTACGTAGTTACAGGTAACGAGTTGCTTGCATAGTTACAGGTAACCGGCGAGTTTGTAGACAGAAACAAGCATGCAGGATGAAGGATACGTCGGGAACAGACGGTGACGGGGAGATGTTGGAGGGTGATCAGTCCGCCAGCTTTTCTCTGCCATGTGGCAAAGTTCTCCGTACTCTACCATGTACTCAGAGCTCTCCGACTTGGGCGGAAGCTGCATGGATTTTTATACATTTAGAGTAGCCAATAACAGACTGCCAGGTGGGAATAGCTAATGAGGCAGAACGTACCAAATTTGAAAGTAACTGCGGTTATTCAGGGCAGTTCTATTGTGACGGGGGCACTCAACTCATTTGGTTATGACATTTGCGACACCAATCTCTGTTCCAAGCTAGCATTAACATGGATCAACAGGTGTAACAAGTCCTGTAGGTGTTTTAGGGGAAAGTGTATAAGAGCAGCTGACGCTTTCAGTTACTTTGTATCTATTGTGAAATCTCAATGGTCTCTTCTCCAGACTTACCTGTTACTGTCTTGTCTTGAAAAGTCTTCCTATACTTCTAGTTACAAGCACTGAAAATAAGAATATGGTGAAATTTGATTATTTAATCTGATAAATTAAATAACCTTTGAAAATGATCTTTGAGGTATGGGGAGCTTTGTTCTGTTCACAGAAATCTCAGTGGTTTAAGCACTGACCTAGTCACAAAACTAGCAAAGCCTTTGATACCCAAGCAAAGATTTCAGACTTTAGTAAAGGATACTTAGGTACATTAATTTAATTGCTTGTACCTGCAGACTTGAAAATAGAACTGTGCTTAATATTCTGTAACTTTTCCAGTGAAAAGGACATGTACTAGAAAATGGAAAAAGTATTGGGTAGATGTAGACAGACAAGGTTCCTTGGGTGAATTTGATATCTTTTATTAGACCAACCCAAATAGTTGGAGAATAGTTATTAAGCAAGCTTTCGGGTTCAAAAACCCTTCGTCAGGCTCAGGAAGCTGCAGCAGTTGGTGTGTGCTCTTCCTGGATGGAATGAAAAGTAAAGAAGCCAGGGGCTGGGCTGGGGAGTCAGTTGCCAGGCAGATTGTAATGTATCAGAAATCCAATGTCTATGTTTAGTCCCTGATCTGTAGTATCCAGGAGGTTGATGATATGGAGCTCATAGGCTCGTCTCTGGGACGTGTTGTGTAAGTTTCCCTTGAGGATCAAGACTGAGAGATTGGAGAGAGAGTGGCCCTCCCATGAGAAATGTGCCCCCACCGGTAATTGGGTATTTCTGTCTTTGATGGATTTCCGGTGTGCATTCATTCTGGTGCACAGTTGTTGTCTGGTGTCTCCTACGTATCTTCCATCAGGGCATTTGGTGCATTGGATGAGGTATATTACATTTCTGGAGGTGCAGCTGTAAGATCCTGGGATGCTGATGGCTCTGCTGTAAGCATTTCAACAGAGAATAAATGGGCACAAAATGCACCTTTACTTGGAAGCATTTGTATGTTCCACAAATGATCCAGAACTTAAAGGGAATGCTTTTCAGATCCCCACGTGAAGGAAAGAAAAGGATGGGGGGCATTGGAAAGCTACTCTGTGCATGCATATGTTTTACATTACTTTCCTTCATGTGTTCTGCTGAAGCCATTTACTTGATAGTTTGCTATTCAAAAACCCACTGATTTGCCTTCCACCCCAAACTGTAATGCTCTTAAATTTTGAGTAAAGTTTGTAGATAATGCATCAGTCTCTTGGATATAGGGGGGAAAAAATCTGAATTTGCATTGCTGGCTCTATTATTTCCCCATAAGTTTTCTTGAATTTTATTTTGCAGCTTGCAACCTACATCTTTATAAAATTTTAGTTGAGTATATAGGGATGAAACCCCATCAGTGGCAATATGTAAATCAGAAAAAATATCTCTAGGTAAATCAAAGATTAGTTGATCACTTCTTTGGAAGTTTATAAGCAAAGCTGGCAGCCTTTCACGGATTCACTGTAGGTGTGAACTCCTTTTTTTGTTTGTTTTTAAATGAAAAATTGTATGCAATATCAATTAATAATTTTATCAGTCTTCCACCTTTTTTTTTTTTTTTTTATTCCCTGTTTATCCATTGGTATAGAGGGGGAAAATTAAAAATAAATATACATTAACATATAGCTTTTAATATCTTCTGCTTTGAGTCCAGCACAGTGGAATGTAACTTCTGTCCTCAAGAACATTTCATTTCTAAATGTTATAACCTAGTTTGGCTTGTGGTAAATGTAAATTTGTTCCTGTATTCCCAAGTGAAAATTCTCTACAATTAACATAAAGTATAATGAAGCTAGTAATTAAATGCTTTTTAACATTTATGCTCCCACTTCTGACTTGTGAGCCTTCTAATCTGAGCAAAAGTCCTGAGTTTGTCTTCTACTCCTGACAATCTATTTGTCTTGTGTTCTTAGCAGATCTGCCACTAAAACTTGACTGGTGTTGACCTAAATATTAACTATGGGCACATACAGGTGTTTGTTTCAATCAGGAGAATTGCTGCTCTCCTGGTAGAAACTGAATGTTAAGTATTTATGCAGTTTCTTCAGGGGAAACCATGCCCCTTCTGGGAGAAAGATCTTCCAGGTTCAAGAGGGGACTGGAATAGTGGGGTAGAGCCCCCTACTAGTATAAGGTAAACCTGGATGGTTGTAGTATCAAACTCAATTGATTTTTAGGTTAAACTGGTGTATTAAACTTATCCCAGATCCCCTCTGGATTCAGATTTAACTTGCAATTCCCAGTCTGAGGAGTGGGCTGGGGGTTTGCCATATTGCTTGCTCTGCTTGGCTCCCAGTCACCAGGAGCTGAGCAGAGAGCAGCTGCTTCTGGCTTCCTGCCTACTCCTCAGGCCGGGGTTCCCAGGGGCTGGGGGGAGTGGAGCAGCCACTGCCCCATGCACCTTCTTTCCTTCCCCCCCCGACTAGGATCACTCCAGTTGCAGACTGGGATCACTGAGGGGTAGCTGAATTGAACACTTGTCCGTGGCCTATGTTTTGTTGTGCTTCTAGTTAGGAATTTGGCCTAGAAGCCAAAATGGGCATGGCATTTTGGGAATAACATGTTGGCTTACAGTTGTATAAGCAGAGAATTAAGCAGCATGTTATGATATTCTGAGACCTGAACTTGAATAAACTTTTTCAGTGGTATGATGCAATATTACAATGCCCTATTGCTAGAAATATGACAGCTTCTCCATCTGTTAGGGTCTTTACTGTGACCTAAGATGAATTGTAACCTACTAAGTGTACACAGTCAACAGTCAAGGCTGAGTCTATTCAATTTTTACATGTTAGTCTAAGCTGTGTAGATTGAACAGACATTCACTTCTGACTGGAAATGCAGCCACAGGCCTACAGTGGCCCAGGCCAGAAGCCGGGGAATGCTAGAGCATGCCTTCCTGCTTGGCTGGAGCAGACAGTTTAGGCCAAGGCTAGCCCACCTACCCTGTGGGGGGGCGGAGTTTGTAGGGGAGATGCAAAGCATTCTACGAGTGAGTTAATTTGAATCTGGAGAGGATCTGGGATAGAAGTTTAACCAATTTAACCTAAATCAGTTGAGTCTGATACTACATCCAGGTTATCTTAAAATGGTTCCAGCCATTTTGATAGTGGTTTATGTGCACTGAACTTCTGTTGTATTACAGATTTGAACTGGTTTTCAATCACTTATACTGGTTTATGTGTTGTTTCTGTATTTTAAGTGAACTTGTTTAAGTACACTAGGGCTAAGGACGGAGATCAAAGTACCAGAGATCTAATGGTGCTGGTACTGTTTCCCCCCTTCTACTCCCCAACCCCCACCTCTAAGGCTGTGTGTGATGTGAGCGCAGCTTCCAGGGGCTGGATGGAGGTGGGGAGAAGTAGGGGCTGTGTGTAAGAAGCTTCCTGCTCCCTGACCCCAGCACAGCTCCCCTCCTATTGGAAGCTGTGATTGTACCACAGCTGGGGGGCTGGAAGACACTGTGGTAGTGCTGGTGCTCCCAGCTGTGTGGCTGCACTGGGGTGAAGAGAAGGCCCTTGAAAAAAGCTGCCAGCCCTTGGAATAAACATAAAAATATATGAACTCTGAAGCAGACTTGTTTTAATTCTTTCAACTCCTTTTCCCTTTAAAGAATACACTGGAAGAACATACTCCTTAACACTCTTGGGTCATCAGTTGATGTCTTTTACTGCTAAAATAACTTTCAGAGATCTCCCAGGAGTTTGGTTTTAAGCAAGGCATGTGCCTTAAGATTTTCACAGAAAACAGCTGTGGGAAAAGAATGTTTTTTCTATTTCTACAGTTTAGCATCTGATTGCTGGGAATGTTCTGCTGCTGATAAATCAGTATAGAATAAAATGTTGTTTAAACAAAAAATTATTTAACGTGTTATTTGCCCACTACTGGGGAAATCTGAGCACTTTATTCAGCCCACTTGTTTTCTTTGCTGACTTGGGCAGCATTTTATAAGGATAATGCTTAAATTGAAAGAGTATTCTAGTGAGTTCATGTGATAATTCTGCTATAAATTAACACGCCCAACAATTCAGCTGGAAAGTGCAGCACCATGGATACTTTTCCCATTTCACACCTCTCTCCTTGGATCTTCTCCATAAGCACAGTGCCAAAAGACACACTTTCACTTGCATGTAACTGAAGTTTGGCTCTGCCTGTTTCCTACCAGCTGTTTATCCTTCTATAACTTGTTTTCCTGCTCTTCATAGAAACATTCATTCTGAGACAGATTTAAGGAGCCCCCAGGCCAGTTATGCCAATCTGTTGCAGTAAGGCTTTGTGTGACTGCTTTTGTTTATGTAAGACAGACTTTCAAGTTGTCCTCAGTTGACTGCATAGGGTACCCTGTGAGACTAGTGGGGGAAAGGGGTGGTATCTGAAACCATGCTGTAAAGTGGGAGAGATTAAACATGATTAATTCTGGGTATTATATTAGAGGCCCGGGGGGGGGGGGGGGTGTTATGTGGAAAGATGTTGGAGGTGTGATATATAAAAATTGCATAAGTTGGGGTACTAAACTGATCACATAAATACTGACCTTTTCTCCTTGGATAAAATGTTGCTTTGAATGGCAAAGTCCTAAGTCTCCATGGCATGCTTTAAAAAGAAAAACACTTAGCGTGTTACTGTTTTGTTATTGAAGTGTGGACAGACCAATCAAATGTGATCTGACAAACACATATGAGGGTGGAAATAGATGTTACCTGATGTCCCATTTGTGCCACCATAACATTCTTTATGGTGGCACAAATTGTGAGCCACCAGTAGACATTACTACCCTTTGTTGCACCACATCAAAGAAGATCAGTGTTGTGACAAAAAGTAGCTCTAGATGCTGCTGCTTTATTGTGACAGATGCTCGTTACCTCTGGCAGGAGAGTACTGACAGCCTGAGATACCTGCACACTAGCCACTGGCAGGGGCTCTGGGAGCTTAAAGGCCCCTGAAGCAGCTGCCTGCTTTCTGTGCTTAGAGGGGCACCTGGGGAATCTTGGGGTGCCTCTCGATAAGCAAGAAAGCCCTACTTTCATGCTCAGTCAGCCCAAATCCCCTCAGTTGGGGGAGGGAGGGGCAGGTCTGGCTGAGTGGAGAACGTAGGGAATTCGCATTACCATAGCATTGCTTCTTGTCCCATAACATCAAGGCTCATCCACTAAACTCGGTGACAGCTATTTCTATCTAGCCTGACCAAAAGACAACTGTTTCCTGTCCGTACTTCTTCCGTTGTATAATTGTATGAAATTATGCTACATATAGTAGTAAACTTCTGAATTGTAAGTTCTTCAAGGTTGAGATTTTTTTTTTTTGAGTTTATACTCTTATTTATACATCTGTGCAGTTCTGTAAAATCTACAAACAAGTTACAAAATTGGCTACAAAAAGTAACACTGCAGAGAAACCCTATGTTATTGTAGTGCTTGCACCAGTTTTGTAGCACTGTGGGGGGGGTTATGTTTATTGTACCCTCAACTTCTATAATGTAACAAAAGTATTGCCTGTTCATGGCCTTAGCTGAAGCTGAGACCTAATCTGGCCTATATAGTATTAGAAAATGGCATTAGGAGATAATGGAAATACATTTTTGCAGTCTGATCGTTTATAGCAGGTTTTACTGTAAGGTGCTACAGGATCTAATTCAGTGGTTCCCAAACTGTGGGGATTGCAACCCCAAATGGGGAAGGACTGGTCTTATTTCTGGCACTTAAGCTGTATTTAACCAGATACTCCCACTATCGAATGTAATAATATCAAAATGAGTTCAGTCTGAGAGCACATTGTAGGCTAACTTTAATTTTTGTCGTAACTTCAGAGGAATTTTCCAGTCAAAGGACCTTCTAGCTTGCTGTCATCTTTCTTTGTAAGAAGTGGCTAAAATTGTAGCAGAACTTGAGGAATTCCATTTGCTATTTGCTGCTGTACTGGAAGTTTTTGATGCGTGCTTGACTTCAATTTGGAATTCGGTGTTTCTGTCACTTAATTTGTAGAATGAATGAATAAGAAATGGTATTCCAGTGAAATAGTTTGACAGCACAGATGCATATTGAGTTGCTATAGATCCTGTTAGTCATGACATCCGTGTTTAAACAGTTCCAAAATCTGGATGTAAAGGAAAGTGCATAGATCATTAAAATACAACCTGTTTAACCAGTATATAAAAGAATAAAAAAACAAACAAACTCCTGAAATAAAATAAGTTTGCAGATATTGGTAAAAACTGAAGGATTTGTATATTGATTAGAGTTGCAATACTCTGTAGGAAAAGCTTTTTTTTTTTTTTTTTTTTTTTTCCCCCCCCCCCCCCCCCCCCCCCAACCAAAACCTTGCAGATGACTCCTTTTGGGGGACACATTCTCTTGAAAAGTCTTTGAGAGAAACTGCTTCTGATTGCCATAGCCTAAGACATCCTGTCCCAATTTGGTTGTCAAGATAATTCATAAATGCCTATGGGGAATATTTTTGAAGTTGGGAGTTTCTGAAAATGCAAATGGTCACTTGTGACCAGTACTTTAAGCTTGTGTAATGCCCTCCTTCCATTTACTTATCATTATCAAGTATCTTGGTTGACGTGGAAACACAATTACATTTGTACAGAATACAAAGGTGAAAGTACCGTGGGGAACAGTGTGTGTGTGTGTGTGTATATTCATAGTGAACAGGGTTTTTAACTGTCTGATTTTTAATATATTTCTTCTTTTCATACGTTTCTTATAGTCCCAGGGGATTTGGGTAACCAATTGGAAGCAAAACTTGACAAACCCACAGTGGTACACTACCTCTGCTCCAAGAAGACAGAAAGTTACTTTACTCTCTGGCTGAATTTAGAATTGCTGCTGCCTGTCATCATTGACTGCTGGATCGACAATATCAGGTAGGATCAGAGCCCTGTAAAACAAAATACTAGGTCAGTGTATAGCATGAAACTGAGGAAGATAACTTTTTCCACTACCAGGCCTATTTTATTCTCAGTTACTTGGCATGTATTTTTTGTGATATTTCTTGAAGAAGAGGCCTAGATTCCACCATAGAAATACAAAATCTGCTTCATGACCAAATAACTTCAATTCAAAAGTTGTACAAACTTCTTGGCAAATCAAAGCCAATGTACAAATATTAATGTCTGTATTGTAGTACTGTATATGCCTGCCATGTATGTGCTGAGCTTGTTGCATGGAGAGGTGTGTGTATCTGGCTAAGTCATAAACCTTAACAGCATTAAAGACTGTTCCCTTTCTAGGCAACCTACCTAACCAAGTAGGTTTTTGTTCCATTGCAGATTTTTATCCAATTCAGCACCTTACTTGTGCACAAGGACTGACCTGAGAGACGGGCAAGCTATATTCTCTCAGGTCAGTTGTTGTGCACAAGTAAGGTGCGGAATTGGATAAAAATCTGTAACGGAACAAAAACCTACTTGGTTAGGTAGGTTGCCTAGAAAAGGATCAAACTTTAACAGCATTAAAGGCTATGATTTACCCAATTTGTCTGTTTCTACACTAATAAAATTTAACCTGCTCTAAAATTTTACTGTGTACTTCATACCAGTTGGGTGTTAGTTCTTCGCAATCTTGCTCTTTAACGCAGTTGAAAGCTGCTCTAAATTATGAACTTTGGACCACCTGAGGGAGGTGAATTTTATGAAGGTTTTTCCACAAGTAAAATGCTAAAAATTTAGGAATTGTTAAAACCCCTCACCTGTCTCAATGTGCTAGGTATAGATGGGCCTTATAGCCAAGACTCCAAATACTTATGAACACATTAGTTTGTGTCAGCATCTGACTGCATTTGGAAACAGATAAGGAAATACTATGTTCTTTTGAATATCATCCGTCTTGTAACAGTTAATGCCACCAACTAACAGGTAAAACAAACAAACAAAAATAAACCACAGTAGTCACAGGTAGTGTGCAGTGTCATACTCCAGTATAGGGATGTTTCCCTTCATAATAGTTTCACTGGACAACTCTGGATTCTGCTGTATACCCCCAAAACCCCTATTCCATTCCCTTGGCCCCAGCCGAGGTAGGCTTGATGGCCTCGCTCAATTTAAGATAGTTTAACTCCAATCATTTCCCCTTTGAATGTAATATAGATAGAGCTTTTGAAGCTATGAATTGTAATTAATTCCTCTGGATTAAAAATAGCCTCCACTGCAGTTTAACTGTAGGGACCAACTCAAATTACAATTTCAGGATTTTCATGGAAACTTCAAAACAAAGAACAGCTTCTTTGTTGATCAGTGGCAAGGGGCAGGGCTGCCAGGGCCTCTTAGACAATCAGTGGTGGGGGGAGAGGGGGATTGCCAGGAAAAAACAGTGAAAATGGTGCTAGGTGCCTGGAGCAGCCCATGACTCTTCCTTCACCTTGGCATGCTTTAAGTAGATCCCTGCTTATCTCTTCTTTTAATTGATGGATCCAATATGTGGGGAACATTCACTGTAGCCTTAACAAATGTATTAAGTTCCTCAGAGGGGGGAAAAAAAATAAGTGGTCTAATGTAGAGATGCCCAGAAGACATGTCTTCAAAGTAGTTTTTTGTTTCTTTACTACACTGTGCATGACTTTGTGGTGGGAGAAACCTCCCTAAGGTTCGTTGTCTAGCTGTAATTTGATTGACAGACAACGCGGGTAAAGAAAGACAGCTGTTTATTTGCTCGAGCAAAGACCATAAAGCCAGCAAAAGGCAAAATGGCCCCCCCCTAAGGGTGAGGTGATCTTTTATACTTATTATAACAAGGCAAGACTTCATGGTTAACAAAAAAAAGCAATACTTGGGCGGTGCTTTTCAAATCTTTGTAACAGCATATTTCTATTAAGCTGAACTAGCACTTTTTTAAAAGCTAAAAGTTAAGTAACAGTAACATTATAATATGTTAGCAAAACCTTACACAGTAGTAGATACTTCTCAAGGACACAACCAGTGCACCCAGAACAATGGTTTCCCTGTCTTATCTTACTTCTTGCTGTAGCTGATTTTTCAGCACACAGACACAGAGATACTTGCTGCTTTTAACTCAGAAAATGCTTAATACAGTTAAAATGATTATTTGACACAAGCAAAGGCTTAGCTATCAATCTGCCTTGTGGTCAGCTGCATTGCTAGGCCACAGGTCATGCCTTGTATTCAGCTGTAAAGCTAATACTTCCTAATAATCTAAATTATTGTAAACCTAACAGTATGCTTATCAGAAAACTGTTCTATTTCAGGGTAATAACAAACCTGCGCACTACAACTTCCTGTGATTAGAGACATGACAAAGAACTTGCATTTGAGAACTCGTCTAACTTCGGACCAACTACCTAGTTGGTCCAATAAAAGAGATCACCCTAAGAAATTGGAATTAATTCTGCTCTTACTTGACTGTTCCTAACTCTGTCTTCACATGCCTATTGTTGATTTCAGGTGCGTTTTAAACCAGGGGTGGGCAAAATTATAGCCTGCAGGCCAGATCCGGCCCACCGACTGATTTTTGTACCCGGTGCGTTGGTGGGCACCCACCAATTGGTTGTATTCAGCCAGCTGCCCCATAGGGTCAAGCCCACCTGCTCCTGCCTGGGGCAGCCAGCACCAGATTCCTGCCCCTCCCTCTCACCCTGCCAGACTGCATTGTCCCAACCCTGGCCAGTGCGCACAACTTTCCAGTGGGGATGCTGCCCAGATACTGTTCAACAACCCCCCCCACCCCCCGCCTCCAGCAGCTTCCTCCTGCCTCTGCTGCATTGCTCTGGGCAGCAGGTAAGAAGCATGGGGAAGCTGTGAAAACATGCTGGGTGGCAAATGTTCAGCCAGGCAGGGAAGCTGCAGCTGGGTGACTTCTGCCCAGTGCGTGGCACTCCAGTTCCAACTCCCAGCTGTCTTCCATCCACTCTGCCTGCTCGACATGATGAGCAGCCACGTGAGGGTGGCCAAGTGGGTGGAAGGCAGCCTGGCGCTGGAGTCCCATGTGCTGTAGGAGGAGCCACCTGACTGCAGCTTACCCCTGGCGTGGTTGGGTGTCTGCAGGCCAGTATGAATCCCCACAGATTACCTGCTGCCTGGAGCAGCATAGGAGTCATCAGTGGAGGCAGGGGAAGCTAAGCAGTACTTGGTGGTTGCAGCTGTGCTGGCAGCGGCCTCATCAGGAAACTCTGTATGCTGGCTGGGGCTGGGGTGATGCTGTCTGGAGGACATAGGATGGGGGTGGGTGCAGATGGGAGCAGGTGGGATTCAGCCCCATGTGGGCAGCTGCATGCAGAAATGCACCAGCATCCTGCCTGGGTGAGCTCTACTGCATGTGCACCTGTCTTCCTCCTCCATCCCTGGTCAGCTCCTGGGACCTAGCACAGCCCCCCACTCCCCTTACACAACATACAAGAGTAAGACTTTATTCAATAGTCTCAATACACCCCTCCCAAAAAAAAAAAAAAAAAAATTCATCATAATTTTTTTTTTTTTTTGAAATACAAAGAATCAACATTTAAAATTTAACCATATATTATACTAAAAATTAGATGATTTATTTAAAATGATATCTTCTGAAAGATGTGTGAAATTTAAGTGGCCCTCCAGCTGAAGTAATTTCCCATGCCTGGTTTAAATGCACCCAGCTGGCTCGGCTTGGGGTATAGGTGAGAACTTGGCTGCTGTTTTTTCTTCAGGTTAGTAATCTTGGTCTTTGCTTTTGGAAGGAGGGAAAGTACTGCTTAGAGAGAGAACTGTTAACTTCCTGTGTGTGTGTGTGTGTTTGTTTTTTTTTTTTTTTCCTTGGTGCCTGGATTTAAAATAATCTGAAGGGGGCTGGAGTAATGTATTGAGCATTCTGTCCTATTAACTGCTCAAGTTTTTAAAACATGGGCATCTTGAAAGTCAGGGTAGGCATGGGGGGTGGGGTGTGGGTGTCCATTCCCCAGAGGTTTCAGGGCTGAAATAATTGCAGTATTACAAAAAAGCCAAGCGTAGTAGCTGATCATCTAACATTTAAAGAGTACAAGGTGTCTTATTATGTCTCTGTCTCTAAGTGTGGTGGAGGGTAACAAGAGTAACAATTGTGGCTGTAGCAAATTACACTGGTAAAAGCTGTTCTGGTAAAACTGTTAAGTTTTCAGGATCCTGTAGTGATACAAGTTAGTGAAATCACCCTGACTTGAACTTTGCTTCATTCAGGGTCAAAATTGGGGTGGTTTTGATGCATGTCTATCCCTACAGAATCAAGTAGTCATAAGTTACTCTGTGTAACACCTAATGTATGCTTCTGAGCTGCCGCTGTTCTACTTCCATTTTTAAAGAAGCTAAAATGTAAGTTTATCCTGGGTCCCAGTCTGGATTTGTGCTAACACCTATGCTTAATAAACCCATCCGTAACTTGGTACTTAATCATTTGACCTCAAAATTGAAAGACAGTTGTTCATGTGTGCATGTATATCACTCTGCGTGACATTGGTTACTGAAACTGCTGAGTCATAACCATGCTAATACTATTATAAGAAATGGGGGAGGGGGTCTGTTGTCTTTTGAAGCATAAAATGGTCTAAAAATCTTTTAACTCCTCATGCCTCTTTTTCTTCAAAATTTTTTTTATTGTCTATAAACTTTTGAAAGGTTTACAGGTGGTTATTGCTTCAAGTCATGGGTCCTGTGCTTGTATGAAAATATTAGCAAATTTTGTGTGAGTGCAAAAAATAGTACACGGAACTTTTTGATTCTTTTCAAATCTGGTTAAAATATTAACTTTGATCTTACCTTACATAATGGCTTTTTAAAACATTAAGGTATCGCATATAAAATACAGACTTTTATTTTCAGACCTGAAGGTTTAAAAAAAAAAAAGTGTGTGTACAGTCTCTGTATTTATAAAGTCCTTGTGCAACTTTAAAGTTTAACTTTGGATATACACATGATAGAAGCAAACTCTAAACAGCAATTGGAAGTGTAATTCATAATTTTTTTAGCATAGTGTAAGCTATTGGGGCTTTGCAAAATGGCACTTTACCATTTTGACTTGAGTTTCGAGGTTTCGATGGAACAGTGTTTCATTTCAAATTTCATTTCTATTTGAAACTGTTCCATTTTGTCCAACCAGTAACGCTGTTTCATCGCTTCACCCATACGCTAATGGGGAAACTCGAAACGGCCTCCAATCTGGCAGGCAGATTGGGAGCCTGCAACCCTGGGAGGCCTGTGGGGGCTGTGTCAATCTACCTGGCGTTGCGGGCCCCCAATCTGCCTGCCAGATGAAGGAGGGAAGCTGGGTGCTGCCACCTGGAACCAGGGAGCTAGGGAAGGGAGCGGGAGCTGAACCTGATCACTCAGTTCCCTTCCCCAGTGCTAGGATCAGGCTGGGGAAGGCCAGCTGGGCTGAGTTGCCTTCCCCAGCCTGATTTTTTGTAGGGCTGGGGAGGGGAACTGAGCCTGGGCTAAGTTCCCTTCCCCTGTGCTGTGATTGGCTTCCTGCAGCCCGGCTGCGGGAGGCAGGGAGAGCCAGGGCTCCAATCCCCACCCGGCTGAGCCACATGGGGCTACAGAGCTGCTGGGAGTACAGCCCTGGTTCTCCCCCGTCTCCCACCACCTGCCTGCTGGCTGCTTTGAAACATTTTAACTAGGCTCATTTTGTTTCGAGGCTGTTTTGAAGCACTTCATTTCAATTCTATTTTGCTGTTTCCAGTTTGAAATGAGTTGAAACTGTTGAATCAAAACAGCCGGTGAAATTTCATACAGCCCTATAAGCTATGCGTAGGGCAAAGATCACAAATGCAGTTCATGAAATCGCTCAGCTGCAAATAGAAAATGTTTTCTACAAGTTGGAAAATCAGACTGAATGATGTATCATGAAAGATGGCTGGCTGGCTTGCTTGCTTGCTTGATACGTTTTATTTATATGGTGGCACAAATCTTTTGTAGTTGATAGCTTTTTTGGGCAAAGGCTTTTCATATTGATTCTCTAAGACAACCATAGAACCATACAAACAGTATTCTTAAACGCAATCTGTATTATAAATGGGTTTCCCAGCTTTGGTATGTGTGGTGTAAATATAGTCTTGAGTGGCTTATTTATAACTTTGTTTGTTACTTTTCTGCTGAACGACCAGCCAAATGTCCTATTAAGTAAAGCAACCTGAGAGAAGCAAGCATGTACTCACCGTATTTCCTGTTTTGTGGACCAATAGAGAAATACAGTTGGAATATGTTTGCATTGCCTTAGCGATTTGGTTTTGCAGTTGTTTCCCCTCAGTCGTTGTTTCCTTTTCACTTTTTTTTCCTTAAGTTATCACGTTTTATCTGGGACTTGACAAAATATTTGGTTAACAATTTTCAGGTATCAATCAATTTTTTTAGAGCTGATGCTGTGGGGTAAAAAGTCTGGATTCCAGAGCTGTTGATCTGGTGAAAAGACATTCACAGTTCCATGAGTCTCAAGTGGATTTGAATGGTACCTACCAAATACTTAATATCTCTGTGTACATTTCCATAGATGTCTTTTTTGTTTGTTTGTTTGTTTGTTTTATTGGTTACAGCAATTCCAAATACTTTCAGCTGGAAAGGTATTCTTAAACCCCACTTC